TTTATATAAAATTAATTTCCATAATTTAATTTTTTTTCATAATTTAATTTTTATCTTATAATTCCATTTTATACATATATATGATTTTTTTTTTTTTTTTTTTTTTTTTTTTTTTTCATTTTTATTTAAATTTATCATTAATACCTATAGGATACATTTCATTTATAATTGTGATAATTTAATTACACATTAAAAAAAAAGGTGACATTTCCTTTTTTTCCCACAGCACATGGCTCAATATTATATTCTGATAAATCCATTGAACAAGATAAATTAAAAGATCTTGTAAATTCACCAAATGTAATATGAAAAGTAACAGAATCTTCTGATTCTTCTACATGTTTTAATGTAAAATTAATAAAGGCATGTTCAGATAAACAATTTACAATACTTGGTAAGAAACTTTCAGTAACTATATCCAATTTTGGTAGTTTAATTAAAAATAATTTATTGGGTATAACTCTGTATATACAATTAACTGATCTAGAATTTTTATAATAAAATCCAGATGATGGATATATATTTAGATTTCCTTTTGAATAATCACAAACATGAGTTCCATCTTCTAAAGGTTTAGAATATTCTTCACTAATTTCTCTTTTTAAATCAATTTTTACAACCCCATGTAAAAGTTCGGAAACTTGATTTGGTTTTACATAACAATAAAACAGTATGTCAGATGCGTTTTCATCAATAATCAAGTGATAGACTGAAACATTTCTCCCACTCAGAACCATTTTTGTTTTTGAATATTTTAACTTTGGAGAATGTTTTGTTATAATAGAATTACTTAGAAAATAACCTTTTGAAGGACAATATACTGTTGAATTGTTAAAACAACTTACTTCATAATTCTCATTAGCAATTACTTTAACTTCATCCCCATGTTTTGGTTTCAGATCGCATAAAATTTTTGTTCTCTGTTGGGGTATAAAATTTAATCTATCAGTAAAATCACATGTACATATTTTATTTTTATTATTTATTCCTATAATTAACTTTGTATGAAATATAACCAAGATTATTGATATCAATGCAAACATTTTTACCTTTTATTATATTTATTTATGTTTTAAATTTATATATTTTTTTTTTTTTTTCTCACAATTAATATAAAATTATAATTCTAATACCCACTTTACATATATTATTTATATTTAATGTATTTAAAATTATATAGAAATAATATATTTTATTTTTTATATTAAAATTTTTCTATTAATTTGAAACATATTTACATTATTTTATATTTCATTTAAAAAAAAAAAAAAAAAAAAAAAATTGCACATTCAATGATCTTTTAAAAATATAGAACACTTTTTCTATAATATATAGTTGCATGCGTTGTAACAACAACAATAAAAAAAAAAAAAAAAAATATAGTAAAATAAGGAAACAATATTATTTAAAAATTATATTTAATGGAAAAAAAAAAATAAGAAAAATTAAAAATAATAAATATGCATTAAAAAATTAAAAGAAAAGAAGAAAAAATAAAAATATTTTCCTTAATGAAATTTTAGTATAAAATTAATTTAAACTGTAGACTCTAGGGCATAAGGTTCTCAATTTTAACTCATGGCTTTTTTAAATTATAGTTACTCAAATTGCTTAAAAAAAATTTGTAAATAAGTGTTTCTTATTCAAGATTCTTTTATTTGTTTTTATTTTTCCTATTTGTTTTTTTTATTTCTACAAGTTTTTTTCAGAACAACTTAAATAAGCTGATTATGCATGTGGATATATTTTATGTTAATTCAATAAAATCAATATAACAAAAACCAACTTTATTATTAATCTTAACATATATATATATATATATATAATATTAAAGAGACATAGAATAAATATAAAAAATGATCAAACGATAATAAATAAAAAGATTTATCTTTTTTTATTTTATTTATAAAAATTTTCTTTAAATATTAAAAAAAAGAAAATTGAATCAAGTCTTATAAATTCAGAAAAAGATGCAAATTTTCCTATTTTTTTTTTTTTTTTTTTTTTTTTCTCTTTTATAA